CATCTTACGGCTGAAGCCCCTGAGACCCAGCACGCTGGCCAGTGCCACGTAGGGTGGCAGAGTGACTAGCTCCCTTCCCTGCAGTGCGTAGCCCTGTGGATGAGCTCGTTGGCATCGACTATTCCCTCCTGAAGGATCCCGTGGTGTCCAGCAGTAACCTGGACATGGAGTTCCGGGTGAGCTTCCCAGGCTGGCGCGGGTGCATGCCTGAGCGTGTGCGCATGTGTGTGTTACCCCTCCCCCAATCAGATTCCTTCCTCCTTTAAGCTGTTCATTTTCACCTTGCCAAAGTTATGCTCTTATGAGGTCCCTCTTACTGCTGAGGCTGGGTGGCTTCCCAGTGCACACAAAGCCAAGTTCAACTTCCCAGGTCTGGCATTGGTGCTTTGTTAGCCTTAGCTGGTTCCACCTTCCTCACACTATCCTTCATCTCTGCAGCTCCCCTCTTGCAAACCTGCCCCTCCTTCCCATCCCAGAGCCTTGGCTCACGCATGGTCTCTCCCCGTCATCTGCCTTGGAGGAGCCGGTTGTGAAGCTGTGTGCACACAAACCCACTGCATCCTCCCACCACCCTGGGAGTTGGATTCCCACGGTCGGCCTCTCAAGGAAGGGAATTCTTACCGGAGAAATTATTTCACCTGCCCAAGGCTACACAGCTAACCTGGGGCATCAGTTTTGCTCTTCCCAGTGGAGTGTGGAACTCCAGGACACAAATCTGGAGTTACAATGTCTCAAATTCAAATCCCGGCTCTGCCACCGATTGGCTGTAGGACCTTACACAAGTGGTTTAGTCTTTCAGTTCCTGCTTCCCAACATATAAACTACACCATATCAGCCAGGGAGCCCACCTCTTCGAAGTGGCTGTGGGCTGAAGGAGTTGATCTAAGACCAGGCTTCCAGAGCACCCGAAGAGTGTCATCATGGTGTGGGCCTACAGCAGCTAACCCCGCTGCCATCCAGTGTCCATCCCAAAGCCACCTCTTCCACAAAGCCTTTCCTGATGCTCCATTCTCCAGTCTTTCTCCAGGACTGCTTCCTTGCAATCTTCCACCCCTCAGTGCACCACCATCCCACCCCCCGGCCAGCGCCCAGCACAGGGCTGAGAGGCAACTGTGGGTCTGAGCCAGTCTGCCCTGACGCCCACTCTAATGCCCCAACCCCAGGGAGCCTTCTTCCCCCTGGCCGAGGGCAACTGGAGCCTCCTCAATCGGGCGGTGGAGCCCCAGCTGCAGGAGCAGGAGCGGATGGTGTACGTGGCCTTCTCCGAGTTTTTCTTTGACTCAGCCATGGAGAGCTACTTCCGGGCAGGGGCATTGAAGCTGTCGCTGGTGGGGGACAAGGTACTTGATGGCCTGCTTGGGGGACAGTCGAGGGGGACCCCCCACACCATGCTTGATGATGGAGATTCAGTGATCCTGCTTTGCTCCCAACCCCCCTGCACAGGTACCCCACGACCTGGACATGCTGCTGAGAGCCACCTACTTTGGGAGCATCTTCTTGGTGAGCTCTGGCAGGGGACAGGCATGGGGCTGGGGCTGGAGGGTCTCGCCTCCTGGCAGCAGCCTTGGATAGGGCAGAGAACTGGCCCTTTGCTTGTGACCATGGTCTTCATCTTGTGAAGTTTGCCTCCAGGCAGTGAGGGGCACTCCTTGTGAAGATGTGCATGAAGGCAGGCTGGACGAGTGCCAGGGTTTTAATACGGAATACATTTCTCTGCTTGTTTAATAAGGAAGGCAGTGGGAGCTAAGCATTCCCACCCACATGCAAAAGCTCGTCCCTGGTATCATGTCGTAAATGGGTGAGCTGGGATTTGAACCTCTGGCTCCAGGTCACATTGGCTTTCTCGTACACGCAGTACAAGCTCCAAAGCTTGTCATCAAGATTAAAGGAATTAATATCTTCAGATAGAACAATCCCTGGGACAGAGCATATGTGGATAGGCCGGAACTGCTGTGGTCCCCATGGTCATGGTCAAACCTCTAGCCCAGAGGCTAAGGGTGTGGACTTTGTTGCCAGACCACCTGAGTTCAGTTCTGCAGGCAACTATTCACATGACCTTGGAGAGCTACTTGGTGCCTCGCTGCCTCCATTTTCCTCTCTCAAAACCGAGGACCGTTCTGAGGTTTGAGTGCCAAGCACTCGGCTCTCATGGCACTCCTACCCCCAGATCTGAGAAGCAGCCAAGCAGCTTCCAGGAAGAGGTGCCAGGGGTTGGGGACGCCCAGGGAAATCGAGGTTGCAAATGGAGGCAAACAAGAAGGGAGAGACTTGTTGGCAAGACAGTTTCTCCATCTCTGAGCTCCCAGAGGGTCAGTCTTTCAGCACCTGGGCTCACCTGGAAGCTGAGCCAGGCTCCATGGCCTGCCCTGCTACCCACAGAGCCCTGCAGTGATGAACTCGCCGCTCAAGGTGGAGCTGTACGCCACCACCCCACCGCGCTGCACCATCAAGCCCTCAGGCACCACCATCTCTGTCACAGCCAGCCTCACCATCGCCCTGGTCCCACCCAACCAGCTTGAAGTCCAGCTGTCCAGCATGGTCATGGTGTGGAGCCACAGAGGGAGGCCGGCAGCTGGGATGGGGAGGCTTATGGGACCTTGTGGGTCAGTCACAGTCCCCTCTCGGTTGCCCGCAGGACTTGGGGCTGAGTGCGAAGATGGCCCTCCAGGGGAAGGCGCTGCGCATAAAGTTGGACCTGCACAAGTAAGCAGCTGCACGGGGATCCCGGGCGGACCCTCACCATCCGCGAGCTGGCCCGTCTTGTTCCTTCACGTTCTCCTACATCCCGGGGGTTAGCAAGCAGGGTGTGTGTCCCACAAAGTTAAGTGAGAGGCCTGTAGCCACACAGCCAATAGGATGAGAACAGCCTGGCCACTAGGAGCAGTGCTGTTGTGTGGTCCTATACCTGGCCTCCAGCAGGTGCCAGGCGCACCACAGGGACTGCAACTCCAACCATGGCAACTATTTATGTTGTAAATAATCACCATGAAATTCCTCAGCTGCACTAAGCCACGCAGGGCTAGCAAGTTCCATAGCACAGATCCATAAAGTTATGTTACCCAGAAAGTTCCAGGGCCACTGTTGGCTAAGAGCCTGGATACTAGAGCGAGGCTTGGATAACTTTCCAGTTGTGTGACCTTGGGCCTCTTACTGAGTCTCTCATGTACAAAGTGCAAATCGTGAGAGTGTTTGCTTAAACAATATTTCAGAAGCAGAGCCACTCATTTACTCCCCAAACACTCTAGTGGCCAGGGCCAGGGCCAAAGCTGGGAGCCATGACCCCAATTTGGGTCTCACGTGGGTGACAGGAGCTCATTCGCATGAGCCATCACTGCTGCTTCCCTGGTGTGCATGAGCAGGAAGCAGGAGTTAGGAGCTGTGTGGGACTAAGTATCAAACTCTGGTCCTCGGATGCAGGATCAGAGCATCTCACCTGCTAGCGAGACACGTGCCTGCTTTTTAGAGCTGCAATGAGGACCACATCAGCTGGTCTTTGAAAATAATTTAATAACTTCTAGATGAAAAAAAGAATACTTCCTATGTGACAGGAAGTAAGCCCCTGTGAGTTTTGTTGCTTGAAATAAATTCCACTTGCAAAGCCATGTGCCAAAGCTAGGCATTAGAGGTGCTTAACAAACCCCAAATAAACAGCAGCCTGGGGTGGGGTAGGGCAGGAGACCCTGAGAGCTCAGCACGGGCAGCCTCAAGAAGGGGGTCCAGTTGTTGTGCCTACCAGCCTCATGTCTCTCCTGCAGATTCCGAATCTACTCGAACCAGTCTGCCCTGGAGTCCCTGGCTGTGAGTTCGGAAGGGTGGTGGGCTAGGGCTGGGGATGGGGTGGGTGGCTGAGGCAAGCCAAGCCCCCTTGCCACCCTGTGTCCTCCACCTGCAGCTGATCCCGCTCCAGGCCCCCCTGAAGACCATGCTGCAGCTCGGGGTGATGCCCTTGCTCAATGGTAGGGCTGGGGGTGCAGGGGGAGTTGAGGAGGGGTGAACTGGCAAGGACCCAGGCTGAACCAGCTGCTCCCACCCACAGAGCGTACTTGGCGTGGCGTGCAGATCCCCATCCCCGAGGGCATCGACTTTGTGCACGAGGTGGTCACCAACCACGCGGTGAGTGGGGGGCTGCTGGGGAAGGTGGTTGGGCCGCACCCCTCTGCAGTTCCTGACTCTAGCCCTGCCCTGCCTGCCTGCCCCTCCTGTCCGTCCCATGGCCCTTTACACCAACCATGCATCTCCTGAGGACAATTTTCTCAGCACACTCCCATAACACCTACTAATCTCTCAGATCTTAGCTGAGAGTCACCTCCTGCAGGAAGCCTTCCTTGGATGTTCATTCTGTACTCCTCAAGTCTCTTGTTTAGCCTCCCTGCACCAAGATAGGAGAACCGCTTTGCTGCTTGCTTGCTTGCTTGCTTGCTCTCCCCCTCTAGACTTGAGAAACCCCCAAGGCCAAAGACTTTGGCTAAACTTCAGCCTCCAAGGTACCACACAAAGCAACGAGATTGTTCTCCCTGTTCCCCTGCACAGGGCTTCCTCACCATCGGGGCTGACCTCTTCTTCGCCAAAGGACTGCGTGAGGTGATTGACAAGAATCAGCCTGCTGCACCCAAGGAGCCTTAACACATCCACAGCAGCTGCCTGAGCCCACAGCAGCCCCCTCCCTCTATGCCCCTGGCTTACAGCCCCTAGCATCCCCGCTAACCTCCAGGGCCACAAACAAGGAAGGCTTCCAAGCTGTATCCAGTTTAATTCCATTGCCAGTCGGTCCATCAATTACACTTGGTCCACGCCCTCCTGGTGGGCCATCCTGAGCTCTGCTTTGATTCCTGGGATGTACTCCAGGAGGGCACTGTTGAGCAGGGAGGGGCAGGGCCAGGCACCCCAGGTAGGGCAACCCTTGTGGGAATCAAGTGCTACCTGGCCCCACCCATGGCGGGGGCAATGCAGGATGTTTGGGGCCAAGGGAAGTGTGTGTGTGTGTGTGTGTGTGTGTGTGTGTGTGTGTGTGTGTGTGTGTGTGTGTGTGTGTGTGTGTATGTGTGCACGCTGATCATTCCAGAAGGCTGGGACATGCCCCACAGGGGCATTTTGCATAAAGGAGACCCTCCCTACTGGCATTCTTAGCGGGGCGAGGCTATGGGGGTTGTGGCCGGGCAGTGGTGGGTGAGGTATGGCGTGTGGGGAGGGTGAGGGTTGTTCCAGTGGCCTCAGTAGGGCTGTCTGTTCAGGAAACGGGAGAACATGGTGAAGGCAGCCTGGGGCTTGTCGGTGGGAACCATGTGTCCAGCGCCCTGGGGAGAAGCATTGCGTGAGATGCCCTGCCCAGCATGCCATCCCTCCAAGTTTGACCCCATGCCCACGGACGCCGCCTTTACCTTAAACCCTTTATCCTGCCCAGCCCCCTCCTCTATCCCCATCCTGCCCCCATGACCCGGTTCTACCTTGATGGTGAGAAAGGCAATGTGGGAGAACTCCTTCACGAAGCCGGCGATCTGCTCCCCACTCTCCCCGTAGTCCACCAGCCATGGCCGGCGCTGTACCTCCATCTGCTCCACCACAAACACCCGTCATAGCCCTCAACTCCGCCCACAGCTGCCGGCCATGTCCCCCTCCCCGCCCCCTCCCCACCCCCCTCGGGTACTAGCAGCCCCTCTCGAGTTCTGCCCACAGTGGGCTAGGGCCACACACACCTGCTCCAGCCCCTGCCTCACCCTCATCTTCCTCCTCTCTTACCTTCTGGTTCAGGGAATCCACAAACCACTCATCCCCCAGGAAATTGCAGGCCATGTCCACATCTCCATTGTACAACAGGATCTGATACTTCTGGAATGGCCAGAGTGAGGGGTCTGGGATAAGCTGAGGCCACAGCCATGTCCTGGGCCCAGCCCTCACCCTGGGGGAGTCTGAAGGAAGCAGGAAAGTCTGTTTGCTGACACAAGCATGCAGTGGAAAGCAGATCTCATTTCTATCCCCAGTTTACAGGTGGGAAAACTGGACCCACCTGCATCTCCCTTTGCCCATCCAGGACAAGATCCCATTCTTCTCACCCTAAAGGTTCCTTGGCTGATGCAGACCCCCTGACCTGCTACAGGAGACCACCATGGGGCAGGAACCAAGTTCATGTCCTGATCCCCTGACCACAGATCTCGGGCAGGTGACTTCAGCACTTGGCAGTCTCAGCTTCCTATGTCCTGAGTGGAACTCTAAGGGGACCCCTCCCCTGCCAGCTATGCTGCCCCGCCCCGCTGGCACCTGTGAGTTGAGCAGCTTCAGGTATTGGTCTTTCATGCTCTGGTAGAGGCGGCGGTACTGTATGTTCACCAACAAGCTGCCAGGAGGAACAGGAGGGGAAGGGAAGGAGTCCACAGCTTAGACCCTCTCTCTTCTGAGGGTGTCACCTGTCTAGGCTGCAGTGCTGGTATGCTGGTTGTTATGGCAATAGGGATGCAGCTGGCACTAGGAGCCAGCAAGCAAGAGAACCCCAGATTATGGTATGGTAGCAGGGCACAGCATGGGTGCTGACCAGTCAGAAGTGACCTCGGTGGCCCCTGCTGTGTCAGGTGCCATAGAGACCTCTACTCGTGCAGAGACCTGGGTGGCCGGGGCTGGGGCAGTCTCTGATAACAGAATGCAGTGGATATGGACCACTGGTGTGGCCACTGAAAAGTGAATGAGCAGAAGGCGGCACAGGAAACATCCTATACAACCCTGAGTTTTCATGGGCTGACTGGCCACATGCCATCCCCCCCGCCCCAGGAACCTGAACCAGAGGCTGCTGTGTTGCTGCCTATATGGGGGGGGCAGGTGGTCCTGAGTGGCCAGACCCTTACTTGCACATGTCCCAGGTGGGCACCTGCTCCGGGATGTGGAGCGCCTTGCGCACATAAGGGTTGTTGAGGTAGGTGGAGGCAGCAGTGGTATTGGTGCAGGGAGGATCCATGTGCACTTTGTCCCCAGTTCGCAGCAGCAGCTGGGAGGTACAGAGAGGAATCAGACTCGGGCCTGGCTTCCCCGCCTTGGCCTTCCGCAGGCCCTGGGGAGTAAGGCCGGGCCCCTTCCCGCACCTGATGCCACGTCCGCTTGAGTGGTAGGCGAGTGAAGAGGTTGCCTAGATCCTGGATCACAAGGCTGTCCTTCTCATACCTGCAAGCGAGACAAGCAGAAGGATGCTGGGGCTGTGGCTGGGCCTAAGGCAGGGCTTGAGGGATGCAGGGCCACACCTACCTGACGTGACCGGGCACCCCGCCGGCACAGGGGGCGTAGAGGTTATAGATGTTGAGGCCCGAGTTGCCCACGATGCGGGACACTTCCTGAAGCTGCAACATACCCAGGCGCCTGGTTTTACAGGTTCCTGTCCTCCCCGCCCCAAGATCCAGTGCTCTTGGTCTCCATCTCTCGCATCATCCTCACAGGGAGGAAAACTTGAGGTTCGGAGGAAGGAATCTCCCAGGACAGGAAGTCCCATTACTACCCAGCCCTGTGACTTTGACAGGCTCACCCTCAGTTTCCTCATCTGGAAAATGGGAATATGCTACCATCTCCCATGAAGGACAAGCATGTGGATTAAATAATCCAGGTGGACCTGATTTAGTGGGTACCTCCTTGGGGTCTGAGAAAACAAGGAATTCTTCCTGCCCCTCTCATTGCCTCCCTGCCTCTGCACGTGGTGGTGGTGGGAGTGTATGTGTGGACACGTGTCCCTGAGCACATCCAGCTGCCTGCTGAAGGGTGCAGGGTAAGGAAGCAATTGGGGAGAGAAGGGCTGGGGAGGCAGGGATGTGGTCCCGTTGCCAGGGCTGGGATGGTAGAGCCAGCGCCAAGCGAGGGCAGAAGCTTACACTGGTCACACATTCTGGGTCTTTGTTGTCGTAGAAGTTACACTTATTTTGAGAACAGCAGTGGGTCTGGAGGGAAGACCAGAGCCTATAGGAGAGCAAAGAGAAAAGTGCGTGGGACCAAGGTGGGCAGAGGTGACCATTTCACCTGCCCCCTCCTGAGCTCAAGTCAAGCAGGATTGTCACACATGGGGTGCGGCGTACTAGGCAGGTCTCTAATTGCAGCTGCCTAACACACCGTCCTGGAGGACTAGACCTTACTCACCCTCCCTGGCCCCTTGGGAAGTGACCTCTAACTCTGTCACATCCGGCCCCCACCTTCCGCTCACAACCCAGGGCAGGGCTAGGGATGTTACAGGTTCACATGCTGGGCGGCCCCACCCGCGAAGGTTGCCCAACTCTCCTGTTTCCATACCTGTTCCCCAGAAGGCCATGGTAGTAGGCGAAATAGACCAACGAGTTGTCATTCTGCTCATAGGAGGAGAGTCCATTGCCCACGGCCAGCCCCTGTGACACATCCAGGATGCTCAGCTCCCCTGGAGGGAGGGCATGGGTGGGGCCTCCCGGGACTCGCACCCAGCCCCCTTGCAATTGGCATGTTAAAAGCCCAGGTGGTTTGAGGGGGTGGATGGGTGGGAAGGTGAGCTGGCAGCCTGCAGGGGAGCTTCCTGGGGTGAGAGAAAGGCAAGCAGAGACAGGGCTGCTGGTGCTAGGAGAGCATGATGGGGCATGGATCACAGGGCTGCAGCTCCCTTTCGGCCCCTGGCACCTGCAGGTTCATGCTGGAGTCCTCCATGACCAGCACTGCCAGGGTGGGGATGTATATGCCAGCATAGCTCTCCCCCGTCAGGAAAAGTTTGTTGTCCTTGTACTCAGGAAAGAGGCGGAAGAAATCTTTGAGGGCCTCGTAGTTGTTCTGGGCAACCTGGGGGCAGCAGGACGCAGGTTGTCAGTAAGGCTTTGCTCGCCCTCGGAGGGGATTACTCTGCTTGTACAAGCGTGAGTGACCTCAGTGCAACACAGCCTGGGACAGTGCCAAGCACAGGCTCCAAGGTCCTGTGATCAATAGGTAACCCGTCCCTGGGAGAACCCGCAGAGCCGGGCAGGGGGTTGAGTACCCAGTACCGCACCTCAGTGTCATTGGTTGCATAAAGCTTGTCATCTGAGTAGGAGAAGCCCACCCCGGCTGGGGACTCAATGTACAGCACGTTTGCAATCTAGAGGAGAGGAGGTGATAAGGTCAGGGATCCTGGAACCAGAATACTGTCTTCCCAAATTACCCCTCGCAGCTCAGACCATACCAAGTTCCAAGAATAGGGGTTGTATTTCAGGGTGACACCATCCGGCTGGATCTGAAAGGAAAACGGAGGGCTGAGGAGGTCCCAAAAGTCCCTTAATGTATGGGAAGCCCCCCACCCTGGCAGGGCAAGAAGGGGAGGCAGAGTCAACCAACAAAAAGGAAATCCTTTCGGAAAGTTGGAGTCGCTCCCCTGGGTCACTTACCAGAAAGGGGCCGTGCTCTGTGAGGAGTCCATCCAGGGAACTGCAGCCGGGACCCCCGTTCAGCCAAAGCACCACTGGGCTGCTCTTGGGGTCCTTCTGGGACTCCACAAACCTGGGGAAGGTGTGTGTGTGTGTGTGTGAGTAGCGGGAGAAGGGTTGATCCTGGAGGAGCGACCCCCACAGCTGCCCCCACTACCCCTCCATCCTGCACATACCCAGGGTCTCCCGGGTGAGCTTGGCACTACCCCTCCCAGACCCACCCTCACCAGTAGTGGAAATGCTTAGACTCAGAGGCTCGCAGGTAGCCAGAGTACTGGCGGAAAGCCGGCTGCTTGGCCAGCCCCGGCAGGCACTCGATCTCATCTTCGTCTGGAGCTGCCAGGGTTCGGGGCACACAGGAGGCGAGCAACAACAGCAGCAGCAGCAGCAGCGGTGGCGGCGACAGCGCGGCTCGGGCCATCTGCAGGAGGAAGCGGCGGATGCCGGTGGCGGACTGGCCCCTCGGCTGCTCCGCGCTTCCGCGCCGCCACCCGCTTGGGAGCGAGGGAGAAGCAGGTGGCGCCACGGCCGCTCCCCATCCCCTGGCCACCGCCTGCGGATCTGGGGCTCGGGGACCCCCCCATCGGCCTCTGGAGCCCCCCACCCCTCACCTCGGGTCCCTCACGTCCTCGCTCTCCAGGCGGCTCCCGGACACTGGCGATCATGTGTACTTGCAGTCACGTGGGCGCCGGCCTCACGTGACAGCCTGTCTCGGGTATTTTGCTTTGGTTCATGGGGGGTGGGGAGGGTGGGGCAATGTTGGGTCAAGGTCCTTGGGGCCTCGAAGGCCGAAGCCTAGGCGCCTGCGATCAGATGACCTGGGTGTGGACCAGCTGGGTTCCTCCAGCCTCCCAGGCTTGGGACCTAGGCGGTCTGGGCTGGGCTAGCAGCGCTAGGACCCCCGGGCGCAGCCTTGGGGATGTGAGTGCGGGGGGAGGGGAAGGGGGAATGCCTTTCGTGGTTTCTCCCGGCTGTCACCCGCCACCCAAAAATAGCCCCCGGCGCCCAGCCTCCGGCCTCGTGGCCAAGACATGGCTGCTGCCTCGGAGCCGGTGCAGTCCGATGCGCCCTGGGGACCTGCGCGCCCAGAGCCGCCTCCCACCCGCTTCCACCAGGTGCACGGCGCCAACATTCGCGTGGACCCCTCCGGGACGCGGGCCACGCGCGTGGAGAGCTTCGCCCACGGCGTGTGTTTCAGTCGTGAGCCCCTGGCCCCGGGCCAGGTGTTCCTGGTGGAGATTGAAGAGAAAGAGCTGGGCTGGTGCGGGCATCTGCGCCTGGGCCTGACTGCGCTGGACCCTGCCAGTCTGGCCGTGGTGCCCGAGTTCTCGCTGCCCGATCTGGTCAGCCTTGGCCACACCTGGGTCTTCGCCATTACACGCCACCACAATCGTGTGCCCCGGGAAGGCCAGTCTGGGGTTGAGGTGGTGGCTCCCAGCCGACCCCCAATCCTGGTGGAGCCTTATCTGCGCATTGAGCAGTTTCGCATTCCGCGGGACCGTCTGGTGGGCCGCAGCCGGCCCGGGCTCTACAGCCACCTGTTGGATCAGCTCTATGAGCTGAACGTGCTGCCTCCCACAGCGCGCCGCAGTCGCCTGGGCGTCCTCTTCTGCCCACGCCGGGATGGCACCGCCGACATGCACATCGTCATCAACGGTGAGGACATGGGTCCCAGCGCCAGGGGGCTGCCGGCTGCCCAGCCCCTCTACGCGGTGGTGGACGTGTTTGCCTCCACCAAGAGTGTGCGCCTGGTCCAGCTCGAATATGGCCGTAGGTATCCTGCTCCGTCCAGATAGTGACCCCTCCTGGGCCAGTGTGGGAACGGGCACCTGCTGGGAACTGGCCAGGCCTGGGTCTGTCTGCCCAGTGTGAGCTCCTGTTGGGCATATGTGGCTTCAGGTAGTCCCTCTGCTTGTGCTCTTTGCACCAGTCGCTGCTGGCCCTGGCCACAGAAGAGCCATCTGGGCAGATGGATTACCAAACCCTGCAAGTTCCCTTCCAGTTTTGGCTTCTAAGCAGATTTTGAGCTCTTGGGCCTCTTAGAGAAACTGTATGCTCTTTCTTTAGGAAAGTGCAACCTGGTTGGGCATGTCAGTTTGACAAGTGTCATAAACCCCAAGATAGGGAGCTTCTTTGTCCTGGGTCATGATAGCTTCCCTCCTGTGCCCTCTCTTCCCCCAGCCTCTGTTTATACCTCTGAGGGTGGTTCTTGAATTCAGCCAAATAGAACTTGTCATGTGCTTGCACAGGCAAAAACAGCCACGCCACCCTTCTCCCCAGAAGCTGCCATGTGACAGGGGGTGGGGAGGCATTGTGCTGGGTTTATAACAGACATGGGGCTGTGGTGTTGTGAAGGCTTTCAAGAGATGCTTGTATCTCAGCTGCCTGGGTCCGCTATGGAACAGAGCAGGTAAAGACATACCCACACGAGTGGCAGAGTGGGTCCCCAGACCCAACCTCTGGGGGTCTCTCTGAATGTCCCAGCGATGCCCTTCTCTCCGCAGTGCCGTCCCTGCAGACGCTGTGCCGCCTGGTGATCCAGAGGAGTGTGGTGCACCGGCTGGCCATCGATGGGCTCCACTTGCCCAAGGGACTCAAGGACTTCTGCAAGTATGAGTGAAGGCCTGCAGGAGGAAGCTGCTGAGCATGTGGCTGCTGGCCCAGAAATAAGCACGGCCAATGCTGATGCTCTCTGATCCTTGCAGGATCTCCTTGCCCCTGTAACTCATGAGAGGCACTTCTAGAATCTTCTAGAATCCATGTGGGTTGGCAGGTCAGAGCTAGAGAGCATTTTGTTGTTGTTGTTGTTGTTGTTAAAGTTTATTTATTTATTTGAAAGGCAAAGTTAAAGAGAAAGGAGAGACAGAGAGATCTTCCATCTACTGGTTTACTTCCCAAATGAGTACAATGGCTAGAACTGGGCCAGTCTGAGGCCAGAAGCCAGGAGCTTCATCTGGTCTTCCATGTTGATGCAGGGGCCCAAGGACTTGAGCCATCTTGCATTGCTTTCCCAGGCACATCAGCAGGAAGTTGAATCGGAAGTAGAGTAGCTGGGACTCCAACTAGTGCTCATCTGGAATGCTGGGGCTGTAGGCGGCTCCTTTACCGGCTACCCCACAGCACTGGCCCCAAGAGCTGTTCAGACATCATCCAGGCCAGTGGTTCCTGACCTGGCCACTCTCATTAGCCTGGTAGAAAATTCAGAATGCCAATGCCAGGCCTCATCCCAAGATTCTTTTAATTTATTGAGGGATTGGGCCTTGAGTCGAGAAGCATTTTTCTAGAACAGAAGTTTCAGTTCAGGCACACACAGTCATCTCCCAGGAATCTCAGCACCTGGGGGCTGGTGTTGTGGCACAGTTTCTCAGGCCACCACCACCTGCAATGCCCACATCTCATTTGGATGTCATTTTGAGTTCTGGCTGTTCCACTTCCAATCTAGTTCCCTGCTAATGCACCCAAGAAGCACTAGAAATTGGCCCAAGGGCTTGGACTTCTGCACCCACTTAGGACATCCAGATGAAGTTCCAGATTCCTGGCTTCCACCTGGAACAACCCTGGCTGTTGTGACCACTTGGGATGTGACCCAGCATCTCTGCTTTTTAATGAACAAATAAATAGAGACATGGATAAATAAACACATCTTTTTTTTTTTTTAATTCTCTTACCTGGATCTGACACTGGGATTCTGATCTTGTGAGGTTAATCATAGACCACGCCAGACACAAAGATGTTGATATATGGAGCCTTTATTTACCAGCTGGGATGGCAGCCACGCAACAAGACACTGATAGACTGCGCCCCAAGCCGCTGAAGTCAAGGGTTTTTAAATGCTTAAACCCCATCCTTTTGAACCCAGGTCTGCAGGATGTTACGGCTGGCTATGGCGTCTGGTCATCTATCAACCAATAGCAGAGAGCAGTCAAGGCAGGAAGAAGCAGTTTTCAAGCTGTAGCAAGCTTTTTACAGAAGCCAATGGCATGATGAAAGGAGGGGTGCGTAACTGCAGGAATAACAATTACAAATCTCATGATCTGTTAATGTCGTGCTGGGGCAGTTCTCAGAAACCAAATGGGGCTGGGGTCCCCCAGAGTGTTAAGATGGGAGTTACTCTTGCTTCCTATTATGGGGTCACTTGAGCTAGTCTTCCCTTTGTCACAATCTAATTGGCCTGGGATGAGGCAGCCATCAGGCTTCCTTCCTTTCTTCTCTTTCTAATGTTTTTTCTTACTAAGATTTACTTATTTTTATTGGAAAGGCAAATCAGCTTTACTGAGAGAAGGAGAGACAGAAAGATCTTCCATCCACTGGCTCACTCCCTAGATGGCTGCAATGGCTAGAGCTGAGCTGACCCAATCTGAAGCCAGAAGCCAGGAGCTTTTCAGGTCTCCGATATGGGTGCATGGTCCCAAGGGCTTGAGCCACCCTCCACTGCTTTCTCTGGCCACAAGCAAGGAGCTGGACAGGAAGTGTTGCAGCTTGGAAACGAATCGACACCCATATCATATGCTGGTGCTTATTGACAGAGGATTAACCAGTTGAGCCAGTGCACTGCCCCCATGATTGTATTTTTTACATTTAGAAAGTTGTGCTCATTTTGCCTGAAAGGCAGAGACCTAGATCTTCCATCTACTGTTTCACTTCCCCAAATGTCTGCAACAAGGGCTGGGCTATAGGGTTGTGGAAATTATTACCCCAGGATTTCTTAAAGCTCCCGCAGAGAGTAACTGCAGAAGCCATGTTCTAGATCAGCCATTTCCTTTTGTGCTGGGAAACTCAGGCCTAGGGAGGCCACCCAGAGTGCATGCCTCACTGGGCACAGAGTGCATGCCTCACTGGGCACAAAGCACTCCCCTTCTCTTCCTTTGGCCCTTCTCATTTTCTCCCATGTATGGGATCTTACTTCAAGCTCTCAGTTCCTCATCTCTCGCATCTGACCAATGAGCATCTGGTAGACTTGGTCAAGTCCGGATATGCCAAGAATCTAGAACACCCCCAATTCTGGCCTGGGGCTCTTTGAAGCTCCTGCCATTGTCAGAGACAGGTTCTAGAATGCACAGGTCAATGCAGTGAGGTAGGTCCAGGTGTAAAGGGGAGGGTCTATGAGGTGGCATTCTAGAAGGATGCAGGAAGTGGCACAGGAGGCAGATAAATATTCCCTCACAAACAAGGGCTTGTGGAAGTCATGTCCTACTTCATGTCTCCACAAACTCATCCAGGTCTTCTTGTTTCTGGTCAAGGTGAGTGAGGGGTTCCCAGAACTGGAGAGGGGGAAAGTTGTGGCCTGGGACTGGGGGGCGGTCTTCTGCCGTACCCCGTGGGAACATTTCCAGTTCACTTGGAAAAGCCCTGGTCAATCAGTAACTACCTGCTTACTCACTCTCTCAGTCATTCATTTAACAAACACTTCTCCATTACCTGCTGCCAGGAGCTAGGGGTGCGGATATGAGCAACACTGAGATCCTAGCCTTGGTGCAGGTGCAGGCCTCCTGGGCTGCTCTTAATTGCTCTTCTTGCTCCCTTGTGGCTTCCCTGGCAAGGAGACCAAGAATAACATTCCATCTCCCTCCTATCTTTGCAGGTGGGGCCGCTCCTTCAGCCTCATCCCTTGGGCTCTATAGTCCTGCTGAGCCCATGGTGGTGGCTCCTGGCCAACTAGGCCTGCTAAGCCAGAAGGCTGAGCAGGTGACACCTGCTGCCCAAGCCTGGGGCCCGGCCCTGGCAGCACCTGAAGCCAGGGGCTTCCCTAGGGGAACTGGCTGGGAGATGTTGCCGTGGAGGAAGGAGTCCAGCCGATACTGCCACACATCCCCTCACCTGAGGCAGCCCGAGAGCTTGGGCTGGGAGGATGGTGGCTCCCGAAGCAGAGCTGCCCAGCTCCACGGCCCCAACTGGCCTAGGCCCCTGCTGCTGTGTGGGCTGTCGCCAGGGGCTCTGCCCGTGCCCTCTGAGGCCGGGGGTAAGGAGGCTGACTCCCAGCCTGACATCTGTATCCTCACCCTGGCCATGATGATCGCCGGCATCCCCACGGTGCCTGTGCCAGGCCTGCGGGAAGAAGACCTGATCCGGGCAGCCCAGGCTTTCATGATGGCTCACCCAGAGCCAGAGGGAGCTGTGGAGGGGTGTGGCGGGAACAGGTGCATATCCATGCACCCCCTGGGCAGATGCCCCTAGTGACGGCCAGCCTCCTGGCTCCTGCTTATAGCTGGATGAAATAGCACCAGACCCACAGGGTGGCTTCTCCGTATGGTTTTTGGGAACGGGGGTTTCGGGAGGGCCTAACAGGGATGGGGACCTGGTAGGCAGTTGAGCCACTCTGACAACTTCCAGCTTTCCTGAGGGCCTAGACTGCATGAAGCTTCTGCTGATCCCACCAAGAAGAGATTTCTGCTGTGACCAGCGGTATGAAGTCCTAGACAGTGTGAGGTTTCCTCCTAGGCAGTTGAAAGCAGCTAGTGGGACAAAGAGTAGGAAGTTGAACCCCAGCTGGGTGGCTAGCCCATCACATATTTTTATAAAAGAGACAAGAGAGGGAAATCACCCACCTGCTGGTTTGTCTCTCAAATGCCCACATGTCAGGACCAGCTCAGGCAGATGCGAGGAACTTGGAACTCAATCCAGGTCTCCCATATGAGTGCCAATGACCCAAGCGCTCCCCTGCTGCCTCTCGAGCTGTGTGTGGGCACAAACCTGATGTGGGAATCTGAACAAGGACTTGGGCCCAGGCACACTCTGTTATGGGCTGTGGGTCAAGTGCAACAGCTGCTCCATCATTCATCTCACCTACCCTGTGGGGCATCTCTGTTTTCACAGATAAACACACTGAGGCTTAGCGGGGTGACCTATCCAAAGTCCCCCAGCTGGTAGAGGTGGAATGGTGCCTCAAAACACAAGGTCGGGAAAGAAGCAGGATTCTCATGTGTCCTGTTCCAAACTGTTCTTCCCTTAACATATGCTAAACTTTCATTCTACAAAACAAAAAACACTAGCTGGGTGTTGTAAGATGCAACATTCAACTTTATTAGTTCCATAACAGGGCAAGGGCGGGAAACACTGCTGGGAGCCTGGCCTTCCGAGGGGCTTTCCTCTGTGGGAAAGCTCCTAGGCCCCCATCCCTTGGGGGACGTGGATCAGAGGAGTAGCTTAGGACTATTAGCAAGCCCAGCACAGAGCCATACTGCCTCATGGTTTTTCTCAGGGGCTACCCGTGTTTGTTACAATTTTTGAAGAATGTTTCTGTTCCTCTTATGAAAAGGCCAACTCAAGAATATACAGGAGACTGCATGTGGCCGGTAAAAGTCTCAAATACTTACTAGGGGGCTCCTGCTGATTCATTGGACAGAGTGGGAAGTTGAACCGAGGGAGGGAGGGTGCCTGTGGGGCACCAGCCCGAGCATCTTGGGGAGTTGGGAGTGATCAGAGCTGGACCTGCTCGTAGGGGCCAATCCAGCTGTCAGCCAGCTCCCGAAGGGTGCTGTACCGCAGTTCGAACTCCTCCTTGCTGCAGTGTTGTAGGAGCCGCCCCACCTCCTCGGTGAGAAGGGTCACCGCCAGGTGCTTGTCCAGGGCCTCGCTCCATCTGCTGCCCACGATGCTGTCCAGACCAGTGGCGCAGCCTGCTGTCCACTGGGCCGGCAGCATGTGGGGCTGGAGCACCTGGTGGCGGGCACTGAGCATGGCGAGGATGTGGCGGCAGGGCAGGTGGAAGGTCTGGTTGAAGTAGCAGCTGCAGCTGGCCGGGGGGTGAGGCTGTACCTTGTGCGTGTCCTCCAGGATCTGTATGCTGATCTTCTCTGAGCCCGAGCTGATGAGGTGCATGGATTTCTGGACCACGGCAAGCTCGCCCAGGCACAGCTGGGCTGCGGGTCCCACGCAGATGGCATCAAGGGAGAGCTGGATGCGGGCTTCCACCACCTGCTCTGCTTTGGGATTCTGAGGGCTGGCATCTGTCGGGGTACAGCTGTTCTGGGCACTAGGGCTAATGCCGAGGTCTGCCTTGCTCCCTGAGTTCTGCATGTACTGGAAGAGAGAGGCCAGGCCTTGCTTCTCAGATGCCACGGTGCCAAAGCAGCGGCTGAGGAGGCGGGTGGTGACCTCGAGGCTCTGGAAGTAGCGGCCGCTCTCGGCCCGGCTCCTCCAGCGGTGGGCCAGCCAGATGCGGTCGTTGAGCAGCCAGTGAGGATGCAGCTCTGGCAGCCGGGCCGGCGGGATGCACTTGCTGAGGAGGGCCGACAGTTTCCTCAGGTTGCCAGCCGTGGCGGAGCACATGGTGTTCTGCAGGGAGCTCAGCAGCAGCTTCTCCACTGGCTGCTCGAGGAACAGCTGGTAGAACTTGCCCTGCAGGAACTTGCAGACGTGGAAGGCCGAGAGCAGGATCTCCGCCGTGGGGAACTCCATGGCGAGGGTGGGCAGTGGTGTGCTCCAGTGCGGGTCCACCAGGATGGTGCAGACTCTCTCCCATGCTGGGTTGAATGCCTTGAACACCTGGAACATCTGGGCCAGGCCTTCAGCATCTTCCCGGGCTGGAATGGCAAAGTAGACAGCCCGGGCCAGGGGTCCCTGCAGCTGTACCCGGGGCCCATCCACCAGGAAAGTGTACAGCACCTTGCCCCTGGGGTTGTAGGTGCGGTGGATGAACAAGACTTCTGGGAAGTGGGCAAAGACCTCTCGCATGGCGCAGCTCTGGTAGCTGAAGGTGTCCAGCTGGGCCGTCTTGCCGACGTGCTGCAGCAGGGCCGGCTGGCTGGGGTCCTTGAGCAGGACTCCATTCAGCACCATCAAGGCCATGGGGAGGGGCAGATGGCAGGCTTTTCTGGTGGGAGGGCTCTCCAGGGGGTGGGGGGTGTAAACTGAGGCTTAAGAGGCTCAACTGGAGTTTGCAGACTGGATCCCCGAGATGGGCCTGTGGAGAAGAGCAGAGGCTGAAGGAAGACAACAGGAGCATGGCGGGTCAAGGATCCACCCAGAGGACGCGTGCTGTGCATCATCGCTGGGCTACGGGCAGGCACGCCGGGGACAAGGATACACCCCAGGCCCCACAGCTGAGGGATGCTAAGAGGCCGGCCACAGACAGGGTGCTTGGGGAATTTATAAATGTTTGGGAAGGCTACAATTAACTGTTTATGGTCCATTTGTGTCTCCCCCCTGCCCCCATAAATAGTATTTGGAGTATTTACATATCACTTTATATTCACAAATTGTGGTCTTGGTATAAGGGAATCCAAGAGAACTGCAAATCTGGCCCAAACTTGCTGTGCAACCTTGAGCAATCCAACAGCCCTCTCTGAGCCCCGGTCCCTTCCATCACGGCACGGGGTTAACTCGTGCACGACTCTCGCTGCCGGGCACTGCAGACGACACGGCTCTCCCATTCCACCCCCAAGTCGGCCATCATCCCCGCCTGACAGACGGGAAACGGAGGCTAACTGAACTGCCCACCGTTATTCTGTAAAGAGCGGGAAGCGGAGCCTTTGGCACGGTTCCTGTGCAAGACCAAGACCGGCTTGGGCAAGGAAGGCGGCCTCTGACCTCTCACCTCTAACCCGGGCAGGAGACGGGGAAAGTCTGACTTTCCTGTTGCCGGAGCGGCCAATCCTCCACCCCTCTGGGAACAGCTGACTGGGGCGTTTTGGTCGCCTCACATTTCACACAGAAATCACTCACCCACAGCTTGGCTTCGCCGCCATTTCTCCCTATTTGACCCTACTCCCGACCCTGATCGACCTCGCCGCTCACCAACCACGGCGCGAGCTTCGCGGTGACTCGGACCAATGGTCTGAGGTGTTTGCTTGCGGGTCTTAGCATTTGTGGACCAATCATCGCCCGGCAACTTGTAGGCGGGCACTGTTACCAAGGTTACGAGGCAGCAACCAATGAAGGCATCAAAACGAAACCTGAGCCCGGTAGCTGAACTCTGGAGCCGCCCCCGCCCCGGCCCCTCCTGGTTAGACTGCGGCAGGAACTTCCTCAGTGGCCGAAAATGCTGAGAATAAATAAAAAAGGGAAGTGTTCCAGAGATCGTAATTTTGTGTTTTTGGTCAAATGCCAAAGTCCTAGGGGGGTGAGAAGAGGCTCCTAAACGGTTGTACTGCGTCGTCTGCCTTCGGGATCAACTGGGGAGCCCAGACCCTGGCAGCTCAACGAGGACCGGAAGTGCAGGACAGGTGCAGCTTGGCACCAGGACCTGTTGAGGATCCTGGTGACGTGCAAGAGCTCCCCTGAAGGTGGCAGACTGAGGAAGCTGCCAAGCCCACGAACCAGCAACACCACAGGGCAGTGTTGGTGCTTGTCACTGCATCAAAGGTGTTCTAGATTTCTGTGAATTTACAGGGGAATTGGGAAATGAGAAGAGCCCAACAGAGTAGTTTTTGCAAACAGCGTGTCAAATGATTGACTGGCCTACAGCTTCCAGCAAGTTGCTTGCAGCCAAGGCTAGGATTCAGCTTGCTTTCCTCGGTCTCCCTGACCCCCTCCTGCCAAGCTACAACCGGAAATCTCTGCAAAGTCTTGAGTTGGTAGGGAGGGGGCAAGTGGACTAAGTCAGAACCTGAAGTTTGAGGTTCCCTCGGCTTCACAACCCCATTAGCCAGGAAATCCTGAACATCCTTTGGATTAATGATAAACCCAGGGCCTGGTGCAATGGCTCACTTGGCTAATCCTCCCCTTGCAAGCACTGGGATCCCATATGGACACTAGTTTGTGTCCCCGCTGCTCTACTTCCCATCCAGCTCTCTGTGTATGGCCTGGAAAAATAGTGGAGGATGGCCCAAAGCCTTGGGACCCTGCACCCGCGTGGGCGGCGCAGAGGAAGCTCCTGGCTTCTGATCCCCTTGATTTTGGTCATTGTGGCCATTTATGCAGTGAACCAGCAGACAGAAGATTTTTGTCTCTTCATTACTCCGTAAATCTGTATTTCCAATTGAAATAAATACATCTTTAAAAAAATTAGTAAATCCACCTTGGGGTGCTCACTTCACGGCAGCCACGCCCGGAGTTGTACAGCTGTGTATGTGTAGTCCCCTGTTCTTCCCTGATCAAGCACAATGCATTTCCCTGCTGCTTTCATTTTATTAATAAAGCTTTATTTAATATGAATAAAAATAGATACAAATAACAGAATCTTCATAAAGAGCAGCAACACTGAAGGATCGCCCTCTCTCCCTCTGTCTTGGCAAATAAGCCCTTTCCCAGGTCCGATTTGTCTTGCTCTGTCCTGGGGCGATGTGTACCCGATCTCAGGGGCTGAGGGAGAACGAGGGGTGACCTTTCGACATGGAGAAAACTTTGGCCTTGAACAATGAATGAGGTCTCACGGGCTGCCCGAAGCAGGACTGACCCGGGCGTGGGGATGGGGGCTGCAGGGGTTGGGAGCAGCTTCGAAGGATTTTCTGCTTTCTGGAATACTCCCCCTATCACACCTAGGGAGACAGTGGCTACAATGCCGATCCCCGACATCTGTCACCCTCTTTGAACTCGCACACTTCCAAGGATAGGAGGGCATGGTCCAATGCGTCGGTGTGGATGCGTCACTCGTGCACCAGGGTTTCAGCAGGAGAGAGTCCTTCCCCTTCCTCCAGCTTTCCCCAAAGGAAGGGGAGGCAACCGATGTCCCTAAAGTCTTCAGACTGCTGACTGGGCTCGGGCAGCTGACTGGGCTCAGGCTGCTGACCGAGGTCAGGCAGCTGACCGGGGTCAGTCCAGATGTCCACAATCTTGCGCAGGGTGGAGTAGCGCTCCTCTAGCTCTGGCCCCTCAGTTTGCATCAGCAGGTTGGCCAGTTCCCTGCTTAGGTCCTGAATTATGTGGTCCCTTCCCTGCCTCTCAGGCTGGCCTGGGCTGGGGAGCTCTCCGCGGTCCTGGAGCTCGCCATTGGGCCCAAGGAGATGCTGGTATTTTTTCTGCCACCGGCGGCACACCATGGCTTCACCCACTGGCTGCTGGCTGGTGTGCAGCAGGGCCAGAATGTGCCGGCACGGCAGGTGGTACCACTGTTGAAAGGAACAGCTACAGCTGCAGCAATCTTTGCTGACCTGGTGAGAGTTCTCTATCAGCTGCACGTCCACAAAGGAGCCAGCCAGGTCCACCAGATGGGTTGAGTTTTGAACGACCTCCCACTCATGGTGGCACAGCTTATAGGCCAGTTCAGAGCCGCTCTGGTGCAAAGTATCAAGCATGCCAGCCTGGGAGGGCTGGGCCTGCGGTTGCGAGGGAACCTGCTGTGGTTCTGCCTTGGTCTCCTGCACGGGCGGCCGGGGGAGGATGGCTCTACAGACTTGGAAGGGCTTCTTGGCCTTGGTGGCCAGGCTTGCAGACTGGGATCTCTTTAACTTGGGAGGTGCTGAGGGCAGGTTCTTGAAACCTTTGGTGTTAAAAAGGTCGATGTAATCCCCAGGGAACAGGGACTGCTGTTCCCGAAAGAGGCTTGACACCTTGCTGGTGACGATGTCCAGGCTGTCCATGTAGGTGTTACACGCATGCAGGCCCTTCCGCACGTGCAGGTACCACAGCAGCTCACAGGAGAACCAGTGCGCCTGTAGGAAGCTGAAGAGATCCTCATCTAGCAGGGCTTGGGACATGTCACGCAGGTTTTTCAGGCTGGCGTTGGAAGTGACGAACACGGCCTCCCGCAGCGCTTCCTTCATGAGTCTTTTAAAGGATGGATCTGTGGAACTACGATGCAACTTCTTTTCCAGGAGTCGGGTTGTGTGGTAAATGGAAAGCAGGATGCGGGCTGAGGGGAAGTTCTCCTGCAGGATGGCCCGGTGAGGGAACGAGGGCTCCACAAAGACCACCTTGATCTTGGGCCAATCGGAGTTGAACTCTGTGAAGATGCTCAGCATCTTGGCCACAGAGGTGGCTGTCTCCTCCTTGAGCATGGCAAAGTGGACCACTCGGCTCTCGCGTTCCTTGTTCTCCACCAGGAAAGCATACAGGATGTGGCCCCGGGCGTTCTCCACCCGGTGCAGCAAGATGCTCTCGGGGAAGCGCACGAACAGCTCACTCATCTTGCTGCTCTGGAAGCTGAGCCGGTCCAGGTCCTGGTTGTTGCCCACGTTGAAGGAGGCCATGGAACCCTCATCCACTTGCAGAAAGTTCTTCATTACTTTGGCTATCTTGGCCAGGTCACAAGGAGTGACACCCTCTAGTTCCGGCTTTGAGGGACCTTGTACTTTTTCGAGGCAAAAGGATGGTTCAGCTGGCAACTTCTCCACTTGGTTGAGGTCTGGCTGCAGTGCCTGCACGCACCTGGTCTTCTGAGGTTTGCCAGCAGCATCTTCCTTGGGACCAGCGGCTCTGCTGGAGTCAACATGCACATGTTGGGTATTCAATTCACTGATACACAGTCGGTCTAGACTCTCGTCGTACCGCAGGAGCAGGTAGGCTGGGCACATGTCCTCCTGCCGAAGTCTCTTCCTGTTGGACTGAGTCCAAATACAGACAAATTTCACCTGCATGTATCTAGGGGAGGCAGAGGGAACAGTGAGAAAGGCGCCGGCCACCAATGCTCTGGTAAGATCAGGCACTATTGGGATTTACATAGGCAGACAGGCTTCCTGAAGGCCATTACGTAGTGCAGAATGTAAAGAAAGATTTATATGAACTCTGCGGACCCTACGATCTCCAGTTGCCATTCTCTTTACGTCCCTCTACAGTGTTTTTCCCCTTTTTCTCTCTGTTGCTATACCACCAACTCAATCTGAAGCCGGATACAGGGGATTGTCAAGAAGTGGCTACAGACTGTCCAGCTGGTCACTCCCTGGTCAAAGTGTCCACCTTACTCCTATCCTTACATGGTACTTCTCTTTTTTACAGATGCATTTGTTTTCACTGGAAAGGCAGATGTTACAGAGAGAGAGATCTATTTGCTCGTTCACTCCCCAAGTGGCCACAATGGCCGGGGCTGAGCTGATCTGAAGCTAGGAGCCAGGAGCTTTTTCCAGGTGTTCCATGTAGGTGCAGGGTCTCAAGGCTTTGCGTCATCCTCTACAGGTTTTCCAGGCCATAAGCAGGGAGCCGGATGGGAAGTAGAGCAGCCGGGATGCAAACCAGCACCCATAGGGGATCCTGGTGCTTGAGGGGGAGTATAAGCCGATGAAGCCACTGCACTGGGCCAGCAAAACCACTTCTTTTTCTTCCTCTGGTCAGTCAAGATAAAAAATTAAGCTCCAAGGACACTGGAGGAGATAAGCTCCTCAAGGCCTTCTGGGTTAGGGGATGACTGAGTCTGCTCTCAAGGATTCTCTGTACATCTTGTTTCATGATAAAATGGCTAACATCCTAAGAAAGTCATGACCAGGGACTGACGTTGTGTAGTATGTTGGGCCTCTGCCTGTAACGCCAACATTCCACAGGAGCACGAGCTCAAGCCCCAGCTGCTCTGTTTCCACCCAGTTCCCTGGTGTGCCTGAGACAGCCATGGGAGAGGCCCTACGGGCTTGTGTGCCACCCCTCATGCGGAAGACCTAGATGATGAATATTTGGGGAGTAAAACAGTGGATGGACAATTTGTTTCTTTGTCTTTCAAATAAATCTTTTGAGAGAAAAAGTTTGTGAGTTGTGGGTTGTCTTTGGGGTCCCTTCTTGCTTTGTTATTCTAGGCTGACAGCAATGCCTGAAAGGACAGTGGTCACTGCATGGCATCGCCATTCTTTCTTCTCTCCTTATGTATCCCACGCTCTGCTGTCCACATTAGGTTCCTACGTCCTCCAAGAAGCGTGTGGTGGATGTCCCTAAGCTGCAGGAATTGCTCCTGTCTCTGAAGCCACACTGTTTATCATAAAGGGTTGGCACATGTTCTGGCTCACAGGACACCTGCTGGTGAGCTGAGGAGACCAGAGGATGACTGCCTGGATGCTGATCCCAGCTCTGCCGCTTGGAAGGTGTTTCTCCTTGGGCAAGTCTCTTTACCTATCTGTGTGCAATCTCCTAATCAGAAAATGAGATGACTTCCTTAGGGTTGTTATGAGGACTAAATGAGCTGCAAGCAATAGTGTTTTAGCCTTTTACTCATGCCCAATTAAATTTAGCTACCCTTACTATTATAACTGATAACTCGGAGACGTTCTTGTGAATGCTTATGCAGTGCCTTTCCAGTTGGCTGGGGATGTCTTCAAGTGCTAGGACTAACTTACTCCTCAGTTTGTTCCAAGCACTAACACAGTGCGACTGCTTCAGCAGATATTTATCAACAATGGACCAGGTGAATAATTCGGGTCCCACCCGTGGCTGAGATGGGTCACACCCCTGTATCTCCAAGGAATTTCCCAGCCTAAAGACCAAGGGAGTGGGGGAAAAAAAAAAAAAGCCTCAGTCCCTGGCATGACATGGCATGGCTTGGGAGCTCCAAGCACACTCTTCCAAGCACTCTAATCCAGCCGGTTCTGTTTGCCCACCCTGTGGGGCAAGTTAAGGAAAACAGGATGTGCCAGTCCCATAATAGGGTGGAGTGGCCTGGGACGGAGTGTGTGCACCTGCTGTGCACACAGTGTGGGGGCAGCACATCTCCAGCTGTGATCCAGGGAGGGGTTGAGTAGGCCAGTGAGCGGCAAGCACTGGGTGGCCTCTGCCTCGTTTTACATCCTGTTTTTCATGTCATGGGAAGAAGACAAACTAGCTCCAGCTTCCTCTGTTTACTGAGCTGTGTCGCGCTTTAGGGTCTTGGCTCATTTTGTCTTTGGTCTAGAATGCCCTTCCCAGCTTTCTTCATCCCAAAGCTTATGCAACCTCCAGAACTACGAGCCACCACCATCTTCTCTTGGAAGCCTTCCTCAAGCCCTTAGAGTGAGCACTACCACCGTGCTGGCTCAATACCTTAGCCTAAATCCAGCTCGCCAAGTGATGCTGACTGTATACTTGGTGACTATTTGTGGAGCTCCTCCCAAGAAAAATACGGGTGACTGTCAACCCCAGAGCTCTTTTACATTCCTGGCTCTGTGAATGTCTGTAATGTGTGCACCTGCCAGGGCGGGAACGTGGGCATCTTTTTCCAAGTCCTCCTCTTCAACTATGACCATTATATGTTTGCAAGTCTTTTTAATCCTTCCCTACCGTTGCTAGGATTGAGGATTTAGTGTATGCCAGGCTGTCCTAAGCTCCTAATATACACCATTTTGTACCAGGAAAATTGTCCTATTATCTACATTTATAGATAGGAAAACAGGCTTCAGGATGTTTTCAAGGATGAAAAGGTGAAATTTGAATTAAATTTGCTGGTCTGCCTAGTTAAGTATTATGTTGCGTGCCGTCTTTCAAATGATTTCCTTTCTCTGAATTCCCATTTCTTTTTAGACTAGTTTATTTATTTATTTAAGATTTATTTATTTTTACTGCAAAGTCAGATATACAGAGAGGAGGAGAGACAGGAAGATCTTCCGTCTGATGATTCACTCCCCAAGTGAACACAACTGCCAGTACTGTGCTGATCTGAAACCAGGAGCTAGGAACTTCCTCCAGGTCTCCCACGTGGGTGCAGGGTCCCAAGGCTTTGGGCCATCCTTGACTCCTTTCCCAGGCCACAAGCAGGGAGCTGGATGGGAAGTGGGGCTGCCGGGATTAGAACCGGCGCCTATGGGATCCCGGGGCATTGAAGGCGAGGACTTCAGCTGCTAGGCTATTGCGCCAGGCCCCTAGACTGATTTATTATTTGTATTGCAAAAGCAGATCACATTCAAAAAGGAGAGACAAAACGATTTCCCACCTATTGGTTCATTCCCTAAAATCCACAATGGCCAGAGCTGAATAAACCTGAAGCCAAGAGCCAGGGGCTTCTTTGAGTTCTCCCATGCGGGTGCAGGGTTCCCAGGGCTAGGACCATCTTCCACTGCTTTCCCGGGTTATGAGCAGGGAGCTGGATGGGGAATACAGCAGTCTGGATATGAGCTGGTGTCCATACAGGATCCCAGTGCTTGCAAGGTGAGGATTTAGCTACTGAGCCATTGTATGGGGCCCTGATTTCCCATTTTCACCTGTTCATACTGACCCTCAACACATTGGTCAGGACCATGACTTTCTTTTTTGAAAGATTTATTTATTTTTATTACAAAGTCAGATACACAGAGAGGAGGAGAGACAGAGAAGATTTTCCATCCACTGATTCACTCCTCAAGCAGCCACAACAGCTGGCGCTGAGCCTCCTCCAGGCCTTCCACACGGGTGTAGAGTCCCAAGGCTTTGGGCAGTCCTCCACTGCTTACCCAGGCCACAAGCAGGGAGCTGGATGAGAAGTGGAGCTGCCGGGATATGAACTGGCATCATGCAGGATTCTGGTGTGTGCAGGCTTTAAGATTTAGCCAGCCACTACGCTATCACACCGGGCCCTTCTTTTATCTTTTTTAAGATTTATTTTATTAGGGCATAGCACAATGGAGTAGTGGTTAAAGTGTTCAACTTCAACGCGCTGGGGTCCCATATGGGCGTCGGTTCTAATCCTGGCAGCTCCACTTCCCATCCAGCTCCCTGCTTGTGGCCTGGGAAAGCAGTTGAGGATGGCCCAAAGTCTTGGGTCCCTGCACCTGTGTGGGAGACCTGGAAGAAGCTTTAGGCTCCTGGCTTTGGATCAGCTAAGCTCCAGCTGTTGCGGCCGCTAGGGAAGTGAACCATCAGATGGAAGATCTTCCTCTCTGTCTCTCCTTCTCTCTGTATATCTGACTTTGTAATAAAAATAAATAAATCTTTAAAAAAAGATTTTATTATTATTTTGTTGGAAAGGCAGATATACAAAGAAAAGGACATACAGAGTAAAAGACCTTCCATCCACTGGTTTGCTCCTCAAATGGCCATAATGGCCAGAGCTGAGTTAGTCCGAAGCTAAGAGCCAGGAGCTTGCTCTGGGTTTCCCACGTGAGTGCAGGGTCCCAGGGCCTTGGGCCATTCTCTATTGCTTTCCCAGGCGACAATCAGGGAGCTGGATAGCAGGTGGGATATGAAATGGTGTCCATAATGGATCCCAGTGGATGCAAGGTGAGGACTTTAGCCACTGGGCGATCATGTTGGGCCCTCTTTTTCTCTTGTTAACCTGTAATTTACAGGAAAGTGTACACATCTTTCGTAAAAAAACTGTTGAGCATTAATTATTTTCATCTGTGTTTATTTCTGTCCTCCCGGTAAAGGCAGAGGCTTGTTTTAATACAAGGACAAGGTTTGGTTTCTCTGAATCAACGTTGGTACTAGGAGTACCCAGTGAGCCACCCAGCTGTTCCCTCCTAGCCTACCCTGCAGGTTTCGTGTGCTGCTACTGTCACGCCACAAGGCAGAGAACCCACGGGGCCACCTGGGGCCACCACGACACCTGCACAGACTAGTGGCTTAGATACATAGATTGGATCAATATTAAATGGACATTGTGGAACATACAAAACTGCTCCTATAATACAATCAGTAGACCGGAAAAATCATCGGCTGGAGTTCTGTCAGGAAAGTTGGCTTCTACTCCCAGCGCTATTGCGAACACTAACTTCAGA